TTTCCTTCCGGTTCTGAACCTGAGAAGTAAGGTTAGACATGACTTCATGACATTTTTCACTGATCATTGTTGTAAAAAACATAAAACAAGCTAATATCACACACATTTTACATAGTTTAAGCAATTCTACTTCTATTATTATTATTATTATTATTATTATTATTATTTGTGTATGTTATGTTTCCTGCTTTGTATCCTGTAGAGCCGGGTACAAACTATAGTCCTTAGGCCCTATAGGAGAATTGTCATTTAATTGATAGCACTTTTCTTAGTATATGGGATGTTCTTAATAGGGCGATTTTCTGGACAACTTGTATATTGATATTGTCTAGGACGCTGTTAATAAAATTGTCCATTCCTTTTCTCACGAGACTCGGGGCTCCGATTACTATTGGTACAGTCTCAGTCTTTATTCCCCACATCCTGTTAATCTCGATCGCCAGGTCCTTGTATTTGGACAATATCTCGATAATTTTCATGGAGGTGTTTCTATCAGATGGTATTATTATTATTATTATTATTATTATTATTGTTGTTGTTGTTGTTGTTATTATGTTATATTTCCTACTTTGTATCCTGTAGAACCGGGTCCACAACTATGGCCATTAGGTCCGATAGGAGAATGGTCATTTAATTGATAGCACTTTTCTTAGTATATTGGATGTTCCTAGTAGGTCGATCTTCTCCCGCAAATTGTATGTTGATGTTACTTGGGACATTGTTAGTAAAATTGTCCATTTCTTTTCTCACGAGACCCAGTGCTCCGATTACTATTGGTACAGTCTCAGCCTTCATTCTACACTTCCTGTTAATTTCGATGGTATTAATCTTACTATTTTGACATACTAGATACGTTATCTCCTGTCGTCCTCATCTTTATGGCCAAATTGATCACAACGTTTCAGTCGCTGTACGTTCCGGCCTTCTTCAGTTGGTTGGAATGTCGAACTGAACTGAGGACACATGGCATAGTGGATAAAGGCGTTAGTTAGATCCAGGGACAGAACCAAAGAATGTAAGTTCAATACCTGTTTACGGCAGTGGAGAACTTGGAGAGGGGAATTAATAGGAGATAACTGATAACTGACATCCATTAGACATGGCACGTGGAACTAGAACAGTCTACCCCAGGGAACGAAATAAAGGTTTCAGTTCGACATTCCAACCACATGAAGAAGGCTGGAGCGTACAACAGCCGTAAACGTTGTGATAAATAGGGCAACAAGGATGATGACGATAGACCGAACAATGTAAATAGAGAAAGTCTTTTCAGTGAGTTGAGTCTAAACCATCAAACAATGTAGAGGTAGAACAAAGTTAGACCAGATCTGAAATACTGGGTCTGTTTAGTTTCATATTAGATATAAAGCATATCGCTTGGAAAATGAGAAATACTTGGAGCTCGGACAGAGTTCAGTTCTGATATCTTGATTTCTGTTTATTTTCAGTCTAGTTATAACGCATATCACTTGGGAAATGTCACGAAAATACCCAACATTTGCTTCCGGGACAATAGAATACCATAAATGCCAATTAGTATTGCGCAGATTAAATAGCAATCTACTAAACATAACATTGTCGGGCAATGAGAGATGAGAATGAAACATGGAGGATCTGTTACAAATTCATGACGGTCGTCTTCGAGTATAGAATCCAGAGGTTGGAAGTGAATATTTCGGAGACAGTAGGAAAGCGTAGTTCAGGTTCGCAGTGGATATCGTAGCAAAGTAGCATAGCGTAGTTCTTCCTTCTGTCATGTTCGCCTGACAAGTTGGATCTGGTCATTCCGGTAGGGTAAACAAAGATGGCCGCCTTTATACACGACAGATACATTGTTCTGCGGCTTCTGATTGGTCAACCTTCCATTGGTAGACTATAAAGGGAATTAAGTCATTTTGACTAACTCACTAGTTATATACATATATACACAAAAAAATGTAATAGGATCATGGCTCGCCACAGCTTCCTATATTTCGTAATTCATAACATTTTTTTTCTTTTTACACTCCATGTCATTCCCTGTTCTGGCGTCCGTTTACACAATCACGTTAGGTAGATTAATTAATGCTCCCCACTGTCCCTCTTACCTTCGATATGTCTTGTGAGTGTCAAATTCTGCAAGCACACTTTCTTTATTATATCATCATAAATATCAGTTGACTCCTTCTAATTTTAAGTATAACTGTCCATTTGTTTCCGCTTTCCTTAAATCTTCCCCATTTACTAACATGCTGCGTCCATGGCATTCCCAGCATCCTTCTTTATATCTGTATCTCCGTCGCTTCTTCATCTGTGAGAAAAGTGTCCAACATTCACTGCCATATAACAAGATTGTTATTACAATTAGTTCAAAGTCGTTTCCTTTATTTCTAAATAAATAATACGCAATTACCTCACCCGCCAAACACCCCAAGAAATTTTATTTAATATTTTTTTCTGTGGAAAGATCTTTTCGAAACATTATAATTCTAGAATAAATCCGTTAATTCAGACTAATATAGATGGCTTTATACTTCGCGTATAAAACACAAAGGAAGCACAAGAAATAGTTGATGCCCCGCCCCCCCTGTACATAATCTGGGAAGATGTCAATAGGAGGAGACTTCTTTAAATTATAGGCTAACTGAGCTGTTAGAAGAGTGATTTATGATCAGATTAAAGATACTTTAAACGTTGGTATAAATTTCAATAAAGAAATCGAGAGAAAAGGCATAATATGATGTATATGCGTGTACGTGCGTGTACGTGTATTAATGTGTGTATTTCAGCTTGTGTGTGGCCGTATGAATAAAAATGGAAAACTTCACACACATACGTATAGGTGGAAAGTAGCTGTCTGTGAGAGATAAAATACATACATACACACACACACATACATATATATATATATATATATATATATATATATATATATATATATATATATGCGTGTGTGTGTGTGTGTGTGTGTGTGTGTGTACAGGGAAACCTCGGCTCTGCAACGACTCACATGTCAAGCAAATCAGTTTTCGAGATGAAAATGCCTCGATTATCGTACAAAATTTCGGTTCTCGAACAACGTTGCCTAACCAAGTTAAGCCGAAGGATTTTTCTGAGACGACCGCCGAGTTGTAAACATTTGTGTGTTGTGGCGGTTTACGAACATTTCCGTTTACGAAAAGCCTTCAGGTACAAATTAAATTTGTGATCCAAGGTCCCCACTATATATATATATATATATATATATATATATATATATATATATATATATATATATATATATATATATATATATATTTAAGAACAGCCTTCAGGAACGAATTAAATTAAACATACACAACAAATTATATAAACTTGCTACTACCTGTCAAAAGTGTGAATTTTCATTTCATCTTTCATTTCATTTTTAAGTATTATCTGATGATACAGCGTCCCTTAAAAATATATATCTAGTAAAATAAATTATTATAATGGAACATTAAAGTGGTCTATTTTTCTTTAATATATATATATATATATATATATATATATATATATATATATATATATAAATGTATATATATACATAAATGTTACATTTTATTTGCTTACATATTTTACGCAACAGTGAATGATACCCTGTCTATGTTCCGGTTTATGGTGACATGAAAAATAACTTTCCCTCCCCCAACTCCACTATCTGAGCTTTCTTTTCTATTTAGCGCAGATCTAACAATTGGATAATCAAGACATACCCACTAGTCTATTTTTAATTCTGACCTTCTGCTTCCTCTCACCCCCATTACCTTTCGGAAAAAAATGTATTGCTTTACTTTTTAGATTTCATTAAAAATCATTTAATCACCAGTTACTCACCATCGCCTGAAAATACAATTAAATGAATTAAATGTTTTTATTATAATCTCTTATAATAAAATAATGATAATAATATATAAAAAATGAAAAAAATACTAAGATATATAATCCGTATATATCCATATATATATATATATATTTAAATGTGTCAATATCTGCTAACTCACTCATGTCTTCTCTCTCCCCCCTCACTTCCTCATTACGTTAATTTACATATGTTTAATACGGCCCGTCAAAAATGTGTAAATTTTCTTTTCATTTTTTGTTTGGAAGTAAAGTCTGATGATCTGCAGTCTTTTAAAAGGGATATGGTGAAATAATTTATTACATGGAACCTTAAAGTGGTCTGTTTTATTTAAATTATTTGCTCTGGATTGAGCTCTCTGGATTTTATCCTTCTTTGGATAATAGACCACTTTAAGGTGTTTATCCATACGGATTACCTAGTTTTTTATAAACTATATATATATATATATATATATATATATATATATATATATATTATATTTAGGATATAGTATTCATCAAACGGTTTTGATTAAAAAATACAGACAATTTTAATGTTTTATTATATTTTTATGAACTTCGGGCAATTTTCCACAACTTCGAACACAATACACCACACTTACCCGAAAATTGGAAAAATATAATGAAAAATTAAGCAGATAGACGTTGCCGGTTAGTTTTAATCAAATTTGTTTGGATATATCGAGAACAATTTTTTTGCAAATAGTTATGACAAATTGGCTTGGTTTGTTTCGTTTCTTTTGTTTTACGATATATCAACCTCGATGAATTATTTAAGGCCGACAATATTTTTATTGAAGGTAATTTTTTTTTTCAAAAATGTATTGTTGGTAAAAAATTTTCCAAAAAATATACTGCTGGTATTATAAACTATTTTTATACATTCATAGTGTTTTAACCCCTTTTGTTGGGTTAACTATTTGCCCAGAGTTGGGACCCTAACAAGGGCTATCACCCCATGTCAAAATGAAAGAAAATATGAGCGCGACGTGTTTCGTCCTTCAGGTTTTCATCGAACTTTACGTTGTTACGACTACGCATGTTTGCAATCAGAGGAGGAAAATTCTGTAGTTCTAATTCTTCGAGCAGAAATAGATTCCCAGCCTAAAAATGTTTTATGTATAATTCTGTATTAAATCTTAGACAAACAGATATATAGATATGAATAGACAAGGATAGATAGATAGATAGATAGATAGATAGATAGATAGATAGATAGATAGATAGATAGATAGATGTAAACAGTCATAGACTTTGATAGATAAATACAAAGGTTGAAAAGTCTTTTAAACATATATATCTATTTCTTATTAAAACATATTGTTGTGACTTCTGTTTGATTTGACATCCCTGTTATTTTAAAATATATAATTAATACCAACTGACAGACAGATCAAGAACACTAGTAATAAAAAATAATACCGGATTAAAAAATATATATATATAAAAATTACATATATATATATATATATATATATATGTGTGTGTGTGTGTGCGTGCGTGCGGGCACGTGTTTTCAACTTACATTAAAGACTATGGACAAATTTCTTTCAAGAAATTCATTATTTTTTTCTTTTCTTCAAAATATTTTGATTGGTGGTTCGAAATTATAAATATATTTCTCGACATTTTATCTGCAAGTACTGCTAGTCATTTTGACCATCTTCAGAGTGTAGATACTTTTAGACACTATGGCTGTCTCGCGATTGCAATTACTTTTAATCACTTTTGTCATCTCTAGAGTGTAAATACTTTTAGTCACTACGTCTGTCTTCAGTGTATAAGTATTATTTTCTATTCGGTGTATCATAATAGGATGCCAAAACAAGGAAAAATATTAAAAATTGATACTGGACGTTGGACGAGATCGAGGAAGAATCAAGGTGACAAAAGATGGCGATGTTGAAATTTACTTTTGAAAAATTAGAAGAGTTGTTGGATTAAAACTGTGAGGTTTTAACTGTAGTAATTCGAAGTGGACTAATTCGCTATTCCCCTAGATAGTCGACATTTAATTAATATTAAATGATCGGAACATTTCCAAACACACCACGTACGTAGGTTTACGATATTCTTTTTTTTTTAAAGTTCCTTTTACGCCACTTGTTCGAAAGATCTGATGCATTATAAGAATCCGCTACTGCTATCTAAAATGGCGTAAAAAGAAGTTACAGTTACCATTATTTTATATTGGAAAAACTTTTGAACGTTCGCAGATCGAGAAAATAGTTATCTATATTAGGCTTCCTCGTGTGTGAGATTACGTTATCTGCTCTAATTGGCGGGAAAGGCGTAAAATTCGACAATATGCTTCCCTGCTTTGAAGCATTTTTCTATCAGACAATACTTGTTAGTCCGTTAGGACATGCTGAAAAAAGCCCGACCGAAACCTATGTGCACTTTCAAAATCAAAGTCATATTTTTCTATTGCGTTATTTTCTGTCTGAGGATCATCAAACTCTTTTGGTCAGATAGGTCCATGAATATCGTTATGAATGACTACTCTTCTGCGGAACATGGATATTTAACCAATGTTTTTTGACTTTGCAAGATTCCGATTAGACTGGTACGGTCGATTAATGGAATGCAGTTCGGGTTGAGGAATTTCGATTTCGAATTGCAGTCAAGTTAATTACCTTCATTTACGTTCTAATACACTTGGGAAAGGTATGGATTCATCTTTTCTCCTCCTCAGCTATGGGTAAATAGTTGTATAGCATTGGGTGGCAATCGGTCTAGGAGAAGGAAAAAGCTGAATTCAAACCAGTCTAGAGACCTTTGTTGAGATCCGGTCAGGTTATCTTGCCTAAGAGACACCATTTCTACTACTGTTGCAGTACATGCGGTGCCGCTGATGAGTTATGAGATTCGGGATCGTGATCATGATAGACAGGAGCTACGCAATCTTCCCTTTCAAGTCCTGATAGAAAAGAGGTAAGAGGGAAAACTTAAAACCTAAAACCCCACAGACGCAATGCCACAAGCCTACTCCTACTCTATGTTGACCATATTTGCCGTAGTCTCTGAATATGGAATCCAGTGAAGTCCGTAATGTCTTCAATATCAGAGGTTGGCAGTGTAGATTCAGAGAAAGTAGCGGCTGTTAATTCTTTAAGTCTTCGATATCAGGTTGGCAGTACAGATAATTTGGGAAGAAAAAACAAAATGGCTGCCTTTATACCCGACGCATTGTATATTTTGAACTTTCTGATTGGTTAACCCTTCTATTAGGGAACTATAAAATGAGTCAGCTAATTTTGACTGGCTCACTAGTACAGGCTACCCAAAAAACTGTAACACTCTATCTCTGTTATCGTGACAAATGTTCAGATGACTTAAACTTTTTTACACCAGTTCAAAATGTTACCTACACGAAATACAATCATCCACATTTCGTCTCTATTCCAAATGTAAGGAGAGAGTTCCATTCATACTGCGTTTTTGCAAAAATTACTACCTTGTGCAGGGAACAAACTCCTGCGTGTATACTTTCTTGAAGACTACAACCGTAGAGTTTTCAAGTCCAGGACCAGTCGTTATCTATCCTCATTATCCACATGATCTTCACATTCTACCAGCACCGCTTTCATTAAGTGCACACAGTTCATTTACCATTTGTAAAAGTAACGCTATACCTTGAAAGGCCCAAGAGACGAACACGTGTCTCATTTGTTTTTTTTACAGCGAGAGTTACCATTTAAAAAGCTCTTGGGCTTTTCTGAGGTAGAGTTTACGTTAGAAGGTCAATTGTGTGTATAGGTAAGGGAGATAACGATTAACCTTCGCCTTGAATAGGTTAAGATTGTAGTTATCGGGGAAACTGCCTATTGGGAGTCGATTCCACAGGGCAGTGTGTCGCGGAAGAAGCTGCTCCAGAGGAACTTACTCCTCACCGATGGAATATGGAGGGAATGTAGATGGCGTGTTCTTGCCGTGAAGGTTTGCCTTGACGGGACCAGGGAACGTAGTTCCCCCGAGAACCTTCCATGGAAGTAACGGTAAAGCAGTAAGTGGCTTGCCACATTTCTCCTGTCGGAGAGAGGTTGAAGGATGTAGAATAATTCGTCACCCACAAGGACACGGAGACGCTTTTGAACTCTATCAAGGCTGGATAGTAAGGTATTTGCAGCTCCCGTCCAGATATGTTCCATTTTGGGCCTAATCTAGCTCTTGTAAAGGTAGAAAATAGTAGGAGGAGTCAGATATTTAATAGAGCCAGACAGGGTTCCGGACATTTTACCTGCATCCTTAGCAACGGATCGTATGTAGGAGTTCCAGTTGAGATCGGGTGTGAGTGTAAGGCACCACAATCTTTGAAGGCACAGTACTTGTCCGAGAGGAACTCTGTGTATCTTGAATGGTGATAGTTCGAGGTCAGACCAGCTTGGTCTTCGAGGTATTGAATGTAAGTAGCCACAATTTTGCTCCCATTGGGTAGTTTGTGCAAGACTAGAAGAGAGATCAGTCACTAATCAAAAGTTTTAAAGGTGCGGCCGTATATAGGCGTATCGTTGGCATAGACAGTTACAAATGATCTGAGTATATTCTTAGGCAGATCATTTATATAGAACAAAAAGAGAGTTGGTTCAATTAGTGACGCCTGTGGGACGCCTGCGTTGACCGCTAGGGCACCGGAGGATTGGCCATTAATAACTTCCTTCAGGGAACTACTTCTTAGGAAGGATTTTATGATCGAGAAGACCCTTCCAGTGATGCCATATTACAAATATAATAGCATCGACTACATGTAAAAAGGCTAAAAAAAAATGGAAGCATTATTAATAAAAACAAAAAACAACACTCAATAATTTCAACTATGAATATGGACACAATATCCTGACTTTTTTTTGAAAATGAAACATTATATAATACAACAATCTATTTCTTGTTAACACTTATTATATTTCAACCGTGTACATAGCTATATGTATAGCCGAAAGCGCTCGGAAAAAAACGACATTTGAACAGTTTTTATATTATTTATCTACTGAAAAATTTATAAGATCACATGAGAAATTGTTTAAAAAAATTAATCAAAGCACCTTGTCTGTCATATTCAATGAAACTTTAATGAAAGAAGAATTGCTGGCTAAATACACAATATGATTCGCTTTATTAAAGCTTCGTCAAAGATCAAGATAGAAATGACAAAAATTATTAAAAGCATTAAAGTATATCTCGTGCGTATTTTGTATATATATATATTGATTTTTATGTATAATGAGATAAGTTACATTCATGAATAATGGATCTGTAGAAAATTGTGATGTAATGCAATTGTTTAAACGTGTGTTAACAGATGGTAATGTTGCTATAAATATATTTTCATAATAATAAATAAAAAAATAAAAACATTCTTCCTCCCGACTTTTTGAATAACCCAACTTACCTGAGCGCTATGGACTTTCCCTATGTGTATCCTGCTAGTATCGAGTACAAGTCGGCTGAGACAATAATAAAAATCAGTGTCGCATAGCGTGGTACAGAAGGAGGGTGCGTCGGAGCCTGATCAGCTCTGACGGGGTCGACTCAGCGAGGATGGTATGATGTTGCAAGGCCCGAAACTACCCAATGACCTGAGTAATTAGATCACTGACGACACCCTCCTGCGCAATAAAAGGGCGTATTTCCGAAACTCTTTAAAGGGTAATGTTCGTTTTTGATAAGGCTGGCATTTGAGAAATTAAAGTTACGTCCTACGTTGTTGCGGTGTAATACGAGAGAATTTGAAAATGAAAAATTGTTCAAAATATCCTGCAGCGCCTCACTAACCTTTACATACTTTAACATCCAGAATTTTTCTTACACTTATTTGAATATTATCTGTTACTTCCTTACAAGTGACACGTATCCAATCAAAATATCCTACTGCATCTTACTAACTTTTGTACATTTTAGCGTCGAGAATGTTTGCCAAACATATGTTAATATTATCTGTTATTTTAATACACGTGACGCGTATCTAAGCAATGAAATAGCCTAACACAACATGCAAGGAATCGGCGTCTCTTTGCTTTTAATCACTTTTTATCATGTATATTTAGGCAGCAAATATTCATTTAGCAAGTTTAGTTAAATAACTTAGACGTATTATGTCTATTTATTTTAGTTTTAATCATTTCAAGTCCGTGAAATAATTTCTTGATGGCTTTAAAAAAAATGATCAAGAAAAATATCAAAATTTTCTTTAAATAATAATTTTTATTTTCCCTGAGTACTTTCAACTTCATCTGAGACCATCTTCATGGGTTA